TTTTTTTTAATTCCACTTCTTTTTTATTCGCCAGTTATTTGACCATGGTGAATTTACTATTAAAACTGCTAAATTACTTGAATAAATCCCTGAAGAATTAATTTATAAATATCTTCCAAAATCTTCGACTCCCAGTATCTCCTAAATTAACCAATTTCTAATCAAAACACCCTAAAACCTTTTATCTACGGAATAAAAATATGCATCCGTCGATACACAAAATAAAAACAGAAAAGAAATACAAAATTGCATAAAAAGAAAAATAAAGATCTAATAATAAATAAAATCTTCCTTGACACTAAAAGTACCGATCTTTACTGGATACCTAAACCTGAACGTAACGGGTATAGATAATACTAATTTTAGCGAAGATAAGTAAATATATTAATTACAGTTCTATCTCAACACGCGTGAACACTAATTTTTTTAAAAGCAGGTGTACGTTTCTAGTAACTGCGATAAGGAAAATTCTCAGACCAGTCATTTTATTTGAATTCCACAGTTCTGGTGTTTGAAAACGTCTCTACTTTCGCAATAAACATAGATACGTGAAGATCACAGAGATTTCCGGCTATACAAATTACAGAGAAATATACATATTATAGAGAAATATATAAATTGAAGAGAAATATACACGAGTATTTCGAAAGACAATCATAAGAGCAATGGCAAAGAGGAGAATAAAGAATAGGGAAATAGGGAATAGGAATAGGGAAATAGGGAATAGGGAATAGGGAAATAGGGAATAGGGAAATAGGGAAATAGGGAAATAGGGAAATAGGGAATAGGGAAATAGGGAATAGGGAAAATTCTCAGATCAGTTATTTTATCTGAATTCCACAGTTTTGGTATTTAAAAACGTTCTCACTTTCGGAATAAACGTAGATACGTGAAAATCACAAAGATTTTCGACTATCCAAATTACAGAGAAATATATAAATTGCAAAGAAATATACAGATACACGAGTATTTCGAAAGACAACCATAAAAGCAATGGCGGAAAGGAGAATAAAGAATAGGGAAGCAGAACAGAACGCGAAACGAGCTATTTTCCATTCGAAATCTATCAATGGCTAGAAAACGGCAAACGCGGATGTTGACTCATTGCCACTCTCACTTTTGCCGCGATTTGCATCGGATCTCTTCCACATATTTGCGCGCCCGCGATATCGCGGATGCGACCGCGTGTCGCCCGATTCGCATGTTGCGAAAATGTTCGGCATTTTCCTTTCTTTCCCGGCCGCGTTCCATCTTCCATCGCTGTAGGTAAATTCTCCAGCCGGTGCACCGACGCACCGGGTCCTCGCACACGTTTCTATTTATATTTTCGTGTATTCCGCGTCCGAATTTTCCCCAGAAGCTACTCATTCACTCGTCGATGAATTAATGCACGAGATGGGGCCTACAAGGGTGGCGCCTGGTAGCCATTTTTGTCTTCGCGATGGATCGAAAGATACCGTTCGACCAGAGAATCAGTGTGAGTTTTCGATGAACGGAAGTGGCCTAAGCGAACTATGTTTCGTTTCGAAATATCGAAAGTGTCCTGCAAATTCAACCCTTTGCACTCGAGAAGCAATCAAAAATCGATATTAATCGATATATTAAATTTAAAATAGAAATATATAACGAAATATCGAAATAAAATAATTCTACGTGTAATTTGCATATTTTAGAAAATATAACTTTATTGCAGAAAATCTTCGAATTGCTATTTTTCCGAACCGAGAAAATCGCCAAGTGCGAAGTATAATTAGAAAATTAATTAGCATAAAGGGACCAAAATTAATATAACTTCTTTTAGTATTTCGGATTCTTTGGTATTTTGACAAAAATTGTTTTCAATTTGTTTTAATGTAAAATAAGTAATAAAATTTTCGATCTTAATTTTTAATGGAGATACGTATCCATTTCGTTCGCAGTAAAATTATTGGAATTTTTAAAATTCGTATGAATTATGCTTGCGTTAAAGCGTCTTAAATGTAATTTTACTTTTATGGCGAGTGGAATTGGTTTTTGCGCAGTTTGACGTGGAAAACTCGATGAGCTAGAGTCATTATAGTGCAAGGGATTAATTGACAGGCGATTAACCGGTGTCCATTTCGTGATTGGGAATTGGTCGATGATGATTCATGGTACTTAGTATTGGATAAACATGGTTATCAAACGAGAGGTTTCGATCGTTACGAAGAAGATAAGAAATGTTGATAAGAAGGAGTATGGACGAATGACGATTATGGTTAACCCTTTTGCTACCCCTGCAAGTGAAAGCATTTTCAATTTTTGTGGAAAAAAATATATGAACTTGACTATCCAAGTGTTTCATGGTAATATATGATTCTGTGAATTTTAACATAGCAACACCTATTTTACATAGTTTCCATGTTACCAATATAATAATCTTCCCCACAGTATAATTTGCATAATTCTTTATACCGTTTTAAAAAATATCAATTTATTATATTTAATTTCATTCGAGATGACGTTAAATTTAAGATAAAAATGAAGATATGTCTATGGTATAAGAAAATGTACATACGTGCACTTTTAACAAGTATGCGTGATATGTAGATTAGTAGATGAACGAAAGAGTTAATATTATTTGCAAAAAGATTCTCGATGCACGAGATTGAACGAAGGTGTCCCCTTGTATTATAGTTCGAGGAATGAGCGCGGCTGGCAATGTTGTTATGTACTACTTTCTGTTATCTACTATTATTACGTACGACTAAGTGCCTCAATGACTATGAAACCTCGAAAGTATTTCCATTCCGCGACTTTTAAAGGCCACGCAAGATTTATGCGTTTCCTTTTAGAAACTAATTTTGCGACTGTCTGAAAATAGATTTCGTTCGAATGTTAGACTTCGCGTGAACCTGAAGGCGTGTTTAAAATTATTTGTTGTATCGAAAAAATAATTCTGAGAAAATATTTGCCATCTTGGAAAACGGATATATATTAATTCTCTGCATTCGGATATTTTATCATACGCTGGAAGAGCTTATATCTAAAAATTCGATAATCGTTTTTAAAGTAAATAAAAAGAAATTATTTTTATTCGAGGAGCGAATTATTTTACAAAAATCGGTGAAGAATTCCCGAATTTGTTCATCGTCGATATAACATATATATAACGCTATTACGATTTCTAATAACGTATCGCGATCAAAATTACGAAGATCGATACTTTGAGAACTCGAATATACGCGATTTTGCATAAATTCGATAAATCGAGTGAAAACGTGGTAAAAAGGACAGAAAAAAATTTTGCATAAAGTTAAAATCGGGGTAAATTAAATATCGATCGTTAATTTTTATAATTTATTAAATGCAAGGAATTAATTTTATACTATATCGTATATATGTATTTTTTATATTACGTTTGGTTATATTTTAGAACACACTTTACACGCGAATTTCTATGTTCGTAAAATGGGAATTTAGAAACAAAGTTAGTAGATCCGCTGGTCGGACAAGAGCTCGTTTCGCGGCGCTGGCCGTTGCGAAAGCGACGACAATGGCGATCATTTGGCCGCTAATTAACACCGATGCGAGAAGAATCGGTGTTGCTGTGTCGCTGCGGCGTGTCAAGAGGACACCGATTCTCGCTACGCGGCCACGGGTTGCCGTAATCCAGATAATTACCATCACCGTTCTCCCTCCCCCCGGAATAAAATTCTTTTTTCCACGAAACTACCACGCCACGGTTCGGTTCCTTCTCCATCCTCTATACAATCCTCGAAGTTCGATACACCGACCGAATCCAGAAACGCAGTCTGCCATTAACGACTTACGAGTGCGAATTTCGATAAGGAAACTCGATAAGAGAACGAGCAAGATTCACGCGAATTCACGGGTTTCCACGCGGGCAAACTATGACTGGTCATTTCAGAATAATCCGTGCAATCGATATAAATAACCTGTCGATCGAGTAATCGAAAAGCATTTCCGCCTTATTTGCCCAATCGACTCGTAGATAAGGTTAATAAAATTCGTTATCAATAACGTGCAATGCACGAGAAATGCATCGCGGCAGGTAAAACGATAACTCGTACTTATTGGTTACCTTTACCGGTGTTTCTAGGTTATGTCAAAGATACGCGCGAAGCGTGTTAAAACGAGGCTGAATATCGGGAGAAAGAATGATGGAAATGCGTAAGGACGGGGAAAAAAATTTGCGAAACACGGCGCGAAGAGAGACACGTATTAAACCGATGACAACGATCGGCGACACGGATTAGAGGAGAAGGGGTGGGGGTAAGAGGCGGGGAAGGTTAATTTTACGCGACGCTATGGAAATCCGAGTCGATACGTCAAATCCTCTCTGCACGGGATACACGCGAACTCGTATAATACCGCGGCTACACGAGGCCGTCTCTCGTTTTTGTTCCTCTTATTCTGTCTACGTCGTCCGCTGTACGCTTCCATTTAACAGCTAGCAGTAGCGGTGCACTGACTCGAAAGTCTGGGAATCGAAACCGCACGGATTCCCCGGCGGCGGCCACGAGCCGCCGACGCGGCTAGACGCGGACCGAGAAAATAGCGAAATTTTACCGACGTATACAGCGTGTATAAGGAACGGGGCGCGTCGTCGATGTTGGAAAAGAGACACGGGCGCGCACACACGGATGATGAGCGAGAAAAAAAAATAATCGAAATAAGGATACGTATTGGCGACGAGAAACAGTTAAGAAACAGTTAAGAAGCGAGAGAACGACATTTTCTCGTTCGGTCCGTCAAAACTTGCCCAATGATGATTTACCGTGTCACGTACGAACGAGAGAATTCTTATTGGTAATTGTTCGATGCAGGATTCTTATTGGCGAATAGCGTTCGTAGACAACGATACAGCGACAACGATCGTCGTTAGTTTTTCTCTGTCGCAATTACTCTCGCGTGTGCGGCGTGGCTTTTTTCCCCCCGAAAGGAAAAATAATCGACAACGCGGCCGTCAACGTTGAAGACGTTCTGTCCAGCGGATAAGAGATGGATTGCGTGCTAACCTGAAAGTCTAGCGAGGAATCGAAGCATGCCAGCGGCGGAAGACAGGCAATGAGCCGCGGTTCCAGCGACCAGAATTCCACCGGCGATCGGCATTTGTGTTTTCCTCCTCTTTCCCCAATTGTCCTGCGTGTGTGTGTATGTGTGTGTGTAGTCGATCTGGCCTCTCGTGTTGCGTTCCTCTTCGCTGTGTGCCAGAGAAAGAGAGGTGGGGGAACGGAGCGAAAGAGAGACAAGGACAGAATATGGCCAGGGGTGACGCGAGTCCTAGCCTAACCTAACCTCTCTTCCTCCTTCGGTGTAAAGGGACACACAGGCACGCACCGGATGAAATGCAAGATCCTCTTTGGACGGGGGCAAGCACGGGACAACCGGTCGCGCACTGTTTTTCAGTCCATGGCACACACTGTTCCCATGCCCGTGATTTTTCCTCGGATCTTTGACACTCCCGATTCGCCTGGACAGCCGGTTTCGTTTACGTGTCGTACCGTGCGCGCGTGCCGTGCCGTGTCGCGCCAGTGAAAACTCTGCCAGCGCACAGACAGGAATGGTATAGACTGAGACAGACGTACGGCCGACGGGATAGATAAATTGGCCTTCAGCGAGAGAGAGGGAGAAAGAAACAGCCCATTAGGGGGGAGGGGAGAAGCGCGTACGACGGCGTAAAGTCCGACCACGGCCTCTACGGGATGCGAGAGAAAGAGAGACAGATCTTCTCTCGCTCTCTCCCTCCGAGTACTCTCCGTGTACACTTCGACACGATGTTGTCACGATTCACGCACTCATTCGTTTCTCGACGTTCGAGTAGTAGACGTGTAGAACCGCGCGCACTTTAGGAACTTCTACAAAGGTTCAAAGAAAACCTGCTCGTGGCGACTGGAAACGGACGTGTATACACGGCAAATACGCGCGCGTTACACCGCGCTCCTACGCTTCGAAACACTGCTCTTACTCTCCCGCAAATCACGAAACTCTCTCTCTCCTCCCATAAGCTATTTTACAACGACGATAACCAACAACGCGAACATGCGCTATCGTAGCAACGCACGATGTGTCTGTACATCAGAAACAATTGTCCTTTCGATATTCGTGCTGTTACTCGTTCTTGCTCCTCTTAAATATGTCATCGTGACCGCGCAGTGAGAATCGCGGTGTTGTTCGCGCTGCTCGTGGGCCCTGACGGGCCCTCGCGGTTCTATTGGCAGCGACACTGCACTGTCAGACACAGACTACGATAGAACAGTCGAGCGACGACTGACTCCTCCACTCGCGAGCCACCAGCAACGTTGCCACATCACTCCCGAGTCTCGATCGGACAAGTCTTCGGCCACCGACGGACAGGTACGACGGTCACTGCGTTCTTGGTGCTGGCGCGCGACCGACTGTTCCATTCGATTTGTTCTCTCCTCTTCTCTCTACCTTCTCATTTTCCTCTACACACCGTGCTTCTGTTCCCCTTGTCGCCTATCCTGTCCTGTCCTGTCCTATCCTGTTCTATTCTATATACGTCAAGTGTTCGCCAAACCCAGTCGTTTTCCGCTTTGCCACACGACTTGTCACCGATTCTCAGAGCCTTTCACAGCCTTTACTCTCGCATCGTTCTCTCGAACCCGGCGTGTGTCGCGACGAAGAGGCTCACGCTGAGCAACTGATCGCTGTTGTCGCTACTATCGACTGCGGATTCAGTCGGTGGTGCATCGAAATCCACCGAACACCGAGATCCGAACGAGCACACAGCACCGAGCTAACTGGCCACATCTGCTGCCGATTTGCTGGCAGCTCTGTTAACTACACGGCCGGCCAGTCTGCCTCTGCCAGCCAGTATGCTCCCTCGCTTTCTTACTCTTGCCTACCAGCAGCCTGCCAGCCTTCTCCAATCGGCCGAGCCTACCTCTCTCGTGTATTCTCTTTGCCTCCCTTCCCTGCCACGCCGCTCTCCTTCTCCTTTCCTCTTGCCCTTCCCTCTGCTCTCCTCTCATTCACTCGCTCGCTCACTTTCTCCATCCTTCTTCCACCGCGACTCTCGCTTCCACCTACCACCTTCCTATCCCGTTCTCCGTTCAATCCTTCGCTTCTCGCTCTCCATCGAATGAATGGTTTTAGTTCGGGAGGGCGGCCGTGCCGGAAACAGCCGATTGCATCCGGAAATCACCGAGCCCGTACTTCCCGCATTAGAGCGCTTCTTGAATAAAATTCCATTCTTTCTTCCTTTCTTTCCTCGCCACGTGATATCTTTACGACCTAACTTTCTTCCCAATTCGTCACCTCGACGTTCCCTGCAGACAGGAATTTACCAAATAATTTTTATCCACCGTATTCCCTGCAGCAAAATTCGCCGTTGTTCTACTCACCGTTCTCCGTACAGGGTGTAATCCGTTGTACTGGCTCGCGTTCCACGAACCTTTTCGTGTAACTTTTCGTGCGTGAAATTGTAATACGTTTTGACGCGTGCATTTCGTTTCTAATGCACGCGCTTCTGCGCGTGTTTTCTCTTCTTCCTTCCTCTCTTTTTCCCGTTTCCTTACATTGTTCCATCCACGCCGCTTCTCTTCATGGTGTGTCCCGTAACGGTAGTTAAATTGTGTATCAGTCGCTCGTATGAACGCATTTGCATCATTGTACTATTTATGCAAATAGTCTTTCCTATTACAATGGAGTCACCTATGACGCGCATATTTTAGCTTACCTTGCCCTAATTTCCTTTTTTCATCCTTTTGCGAGATGCGATCTGAAATTTAATAGACCATCGTAAAAGCTGATTTCCATATTGGCGATGATTATATGCATATGTAAAACGATCATGGCGCGTTTATTCGTATGGAAATTCCGTGATTTTTGGAACACGCGTGCAGCAGCAGAAAAATCGTGAACGGATCGCATGTTCCATATTCTGTGAAACTGGAACAGTATTTTAGGCCGAAAATTGGCGCCGATTAAAAGAACTGCAGCGTCTGGTGAACTAAATTATGCAAGAAAAATATACCGAAACTCTTCGGGGAGATACGTCAGTGGTGGAAACGCTGCCGCCTCGACTGCCATCGTGCGTGTATTTTTTAAACATTTCTTCAAGATCCGCTCAAGCATGGAACGTTGAAAGCGGGCATAATTTGTGGATACAGTTATGACGATTCAAATTAAACATCACGATTCAAGTTCTTTCCTGTTTACTTGTCCAACTTTCTATAAAAGAATATCTCACTTGTTTAAACGTACCTCGAGGGGCAAGGAAAATAGCAACTAGATAGATGAACCTGATAATAATGGCCGATGAACGTCACGAAATATAACTGACTATGTTTGACGACAAACTTAACCGTTTATTTACAGGGAGCGATGATATCGCTTTCTATTTTACCGGCCTTTTTCATCGAATTCCACCGGTCGTATTAATTTTAATTCACGTAACGATAAAAATCTCGCATCGCATTATGCAAGCTAGTACATGACGTAATGCGATGCGCCGATTCATAAAGTGCAATGAAACACATGGAACGGTAATCGGAATTGTCTTTTAACGCATGCATTCCGTGCACATACTGCGACATCTAGCTGCAACACGTGGAAACTTGTAATAACAAGGTTCAACCATCCACCGTTACGCGGCTCTGTTCACTCTTCAATTATTCCCATCCTTTTACCATAATAATAAACAAATTTTACACCTTTTCAGGAAAGCAAATTCGAGTTTAATTACCAGAAGATATTCTTAGGACACCGCTAAATATTTTTAACTCTTTTAAAACATTCCAACAGAAGAGAAAAATGATAAAAATTCGCTTTTAATACCTCCAAACTCAACTTATTCCCAGCTTATTGTTACAACTCTCTAGACGATTTTTATAAATATTTCAAGCAAAATTGCGAAAAAAATTGACGAGTAAACGTAGAGTAGAAATAAAATTCTTTAAATGTACAGTCACAACATTGAGCCTCAACTTGCCACGCAGCTCGAAAGTAAAAGAAAAAAGAGGAAAACGGTGAGAAACAATAGGCCGCAGGGGCAGGTTCCTCGAGATTGCGTTCGCATAAAGGACATCTGAAATATATTTAAAAATAGTGCGAGACTATTGAAGCATTTCGCCTCAGCTGGCCTCTCGCCTTGGCGAGAGAACATCTGCGGAGCAATCTCGATCCTTGCGTCATTATTCTTTGTGACCGCGCACCATCGATTCACAGGTTACCTCAACCATGGAAATTAATCAACCTTAGACCATGATCAGAACTGATAATGGGAAAACGTGACGTTCATCGTGGCCAAGATTCACCGATCGAGAAACTCGATTCTATCATCTGCTCTGTTCGTCTCTTTTTCTTTTCTTCACCGTCATCGTCCTTCTTCTTCTTCTTCTCTTCGTCTCACTTTTTTTCTTTTCTCTGTAGATCACAATTCAATCGAAGATCTGTTCGATGAAGCGATTTGTCTGGACGCGGTTAGAGGGAACTTTATCGTTCACCGGCCGTGAAAATAGCGAGACGGGAACGTTGTCGATCGAATTTCGCGAGTCCAGCTGTAGAAGAACGAGGCAGCGTGAACGCGATACAATCAATTATCGATTAGGAAACTGCAATTTTCAGCGAACGATTCCTGATTACAGACCTTTTTCTACGTAACTGTTACTGAGCCAGACAAACGTTCGTGCACGGTTAATCAATAATATGCGTATCGATCATTTATTCTCACAGAAAAGCGGTGCACGTGGATGAACCCATCGTCAGCAAAGGAAACAAATGTCGGTTCTTAATACTTTTAGTGCATTAACGACGTAATAATTATTTTCCACGTGTATAAGTATAATTTAGTAAATTATCCATAGGTGATTTGAATATTTGCGTTGAATTCACCAGCAGAATTGAATGTGTATTGCAATGGGTATTCCATTTGTATTGGAATATTTTCTTACTGGTTTGTTCTCATTATTTATATTCTGTTTCAACGATTATAGATTTCTTCCAATTTTAACTCTCTATAACATCATGTAACTTGAAATTTACTATTCGTGTAATTTAATTTCCAGAATTTTATTCCATTTTCATGTCACTTAATTTTTATATCTTCTTCCTTTTTAATTTATTAATTTTTACATTTTCATCTTAGGCTTGGACGAAATTTATAGCACCTGAAAAATAAAAATATTTCATCCCACAATCTAGCACAATGCAAATTGATTTCGTTAACAAAAAGATGATGAGAAGTACCTTCTTACCGCTAAAAAAAAGATTTTAATAGAAATAAACAAGTAAATAGCATTACGTTCTTATCATGATGGAAGTTGGTATTAATTTTGTCAAAGAGGAAGTCTGGAACCAGTGATCTGAACTAATTATTACATACTTCTAACTATTCACCCTTTCCATTTCGTTATCAACAAGAATTCTAATCTTCATGGTCTTCTCACAGTCTTCAACATCTCATGTCTCTCAGATCTAAAACCTCAGCATCGCCTAACTCCCTCAAAATCTCCAAGCTGCTTTCCTAAAACCAAAAATCTATCAATAGACCTGTGACGATGGCAGGTACCGGTTACCTATGCCGAAAATCCTTGGCAGTCGAGGAACTGAGCGATAAATCGATGGCCAAGGTGAAAGAAACGCGTGTCAGGATGTGACATCGTGTCTCCACGTAACCAAAGCGCATCAAAGGGGAACAAGGGCCATAGTTTGATAGGCGACGGTGCAATATTCATAAGCCGGCGTCATAGAGAGCCAGCGCAGGCGTCGTCGTCATCGTCTACGGTGTCCTCAGGCTTGTTCGTCTGTTTGCGCAGAAGACAACTGTTGTTCGTCCATTCGGCACCGAGTCGGTTCTCCTGAGCCATGTCGACGACTGTAGTAGCGGCTGGTGCGTTGCTGCTCATCTCGTTCCTCGGTCTTTCCCTCTGCCAAACACCCATGAACATGCGTAAGTATTGTCTCCGATGACTTTGGAAAATTTCCTTTGCAACCATGTAGCCGAATTAAAAATCCGGATGACTCGTGGTTGCGTGGGATTACTCAACATTTAATAGAACTCGGTGAACCACTTCGATTATGTTAATCTAAAAAGAAAAAAAAGAAATAGTAAATTATTTATTTCTCGGGAGTTAGTATTAGTGGTATATGGATATAGCCAGATTTGGATCTGTTTGTAAGTAATTTAGTATGATTATTTATATTTTTGTATTTAGCAATTGAATATTCTCGAAAGGCACGGTGTAACGATGTCATAAAATATTAGGGGAAATTAAATGCACCGACTAGGTGCATTTCGATCGGGTAATATGAAAGTTTGATTCGTTCCCGATACATCGAAGAATTGCCGTACCATCGCTGAATTATTCACCTGGTAAACGTCTGGTTGAAACCTTCCGCATCTCCTGTTCCGACTCGAACGTCAGGTACCTGGTCCTTGACATAGAAAAAGGTTCGACGAAAGCTACTAACGACGATCGGGAGAAAACGAGAAAAGGAAGGACGCGGATCGCGATATCGTCGCGAGATTGTTGCTTCAGATAACAGTGGTCACGTTGCGTTTTACCGCTACTTTACAAAGTACACGAGAAAAATATGCTATTAACCTGGGTGCAATATTTTTTTCAACAAGGTGCGACAAGTTACGGTATGCAGATAACAGCTGCACGATTAGATCCGATCTGGTGTAACGAAGCTAGGCGGGGTAGTATGGTAACGAGCATTAATCGTGATGGAATTGCGTATTCTCTTTGAAAACAGGTGATGGACATTGTGGATAAATGTATCGAAGAAAATGTACATGTATCGTCGCGAAGTCTAATTTTGCTGAATGATAGATGTTGGAAGTTTATGACATTTTGTATAATTCATTTGAGTGCGAGAGTCTTTGAAAAATTCCTATCGAAAAATATGAAACTCATTTGCATATCGGAAAATGCTTAAGGAAATGGCACATGGTTAGATAAAACCTGGAAAGTGCAATTTATCTTTTTCATCTTTTTTGTTCTATAGTCATAGTGGTAGAGCAACCAGATAAGTCGATCCTGAGCGTGCTGAACGAGGCTGCACCTCAAGCTGAGAAGAACTTCGGGGATGGTGTCATCACCGTCCATATTTCTACAGTCCAAGTGGATCGTGCAAACGTGGATGCCAGTTTTGACAGAGGTTGAGAAAAGACAGTGTCGTGTAGCTTCTGGAGCTTCCACGACTTCAGTTTCTATCGATAGATATCTTTGCAAGTCTCGAAAAATTATTTCAAAGTTCCTAGCTTCGTACGATAGAATTGTCATTGAAATTCTATTATCTAAATGTAGCTGGATTTTAATAAAAATTCTACTATTCCTCTTGTCAAAACTACCCTTGTTAGTTATACCGATTTAAATCTAAAGGATTACTTTTACTATTCGAAAATGAATAACATCCTTGTATTGAATTTAATTGATTGTGAACTACACGCGACTTGCATCCCTTTGACCAAACTATCGATACCAACTAGATACAATATCAACAAGCTCTTCCGTCGTGATCGTGCATCGTTCTTATTCTCGTCTCGTTAAAATCAACTTGCAGTATGTGCTGCCTTATTTAAGGGAATCAGTATCATACTCGACATGACCTGGACCGGCTGGGACCGGCTACGCAACATGGCCGACGAGAACGGAATAATATACAAACGGGGTGACAGCAATATAAACCCGTACGTCCAAGCGATCGACGATCTTTTGATGTTGAAGAATGCCACGGACGTTGGTTTGATCTTCGAAGATGAAAGGGGTACCTTGACACCGACCTTCGATCGTTCTTTTCGCGATTTCCAGATCTCCACGATTGTTTGCAAACCTATCTTCACTGTTTTGCAGAGTTGAATCAAAGTCTATACTATTTAATCGGGAACTCGATCATAAGGCTGGTGGTGATCGACGAGTTCACGGATAGAACGATGTCGAAGATCAGGAGTATGCGGCCGTCGCCATCTTATTACACCATCTACGCAAGCACAGCCAAGATGGAGCACCTCTTCAGTACGGTGAGTCTCACAGAAGCTTTGACAGACGAAATCCAAATATCTCTTTGCGAAAGATTGAAGTCACCCTTAAATAAAAGATAAAGTAATATTAATTTCACAATTTATTTTAATTATGGCGCGATATAAATTAAATTACAGTAATGAAATTTTTCAGGCTATACAAGGAGGATTGGTGAAGAGAAATGGAATATGGAACTTGGTGTTCACCGATAATAATTATAAAGATTTTAAGTACATCAATGGAGACCTCCAGTTAAATGTTTCCGTCACCATATTGTCGATGAGTCTGAACGTCTGCTGCAGATTAATTGGCGAACCCTCTTGCAGCTGTTCCCCTGATATTCAAGTACAATAGATATTACTTTCGTTGTTTTATATCCTAGTGATTAAAATGATTAATTTATTCTTCTTTTACCTTCTAACGCTTTCATAGATATTCCAATATTACTTTAAAAGGCTAGTAAGTCTCGTAGTGAGTCTAATGAGTGAGCTTCAGAAGTCGGGTGTCAGCGTGGAACCTAAGACTGGTAAATGCTCTTCTGCGAACGAGAAACAAGCCTCGAATTTCACGTCTGAAGCATTTAACAAGAACATATTAGCGGTGAGTCATGTGTAGAATAAATAGTGACTTATAAAAGAGTCGAAGACTCATGGAAAAATATTACTGATAGAAATTAGGGGGTAACGATACCTTTGAGTACTGGTCTGAGAAAGGGATGATCACGTATAAAGCTGAGATCAAGCTGGAGAATCTTAATAATGGAATTTTGGAGCCTCTAGCCACCTGGACGCGACATAGCAAGATTAAAGAAGCCGAAGGGAAGAAAATAGAGCCTGCCAGACGATTCTTCCGAATTGGAACTACTGTTGTAATTGACAAACTCGTGTTAAATATATAATATGCAATTTATCTTCTCAATTACTGGAGACACGCTACTTTGTGATTACATGCATCCATTTATCATCGTCACATCTATTCTCATTTGAGTATAGTATATTTCTCTGCACAGATCGATAGTTCTAGTCTTAACGTTACAGTCAATTTCTTTTAGCTTTTACGATATTCTTTCGTAAAGTTAATTAATCTAAGAACTAAAATTGCATTAGGCAATACCTTGGACCATGAACAAAGTGGATCCAGTAACTGGGAAGATTATGAGAGATGAGAACGGAAATGAAATATTTGAGGGTTACTGCATAGACTTCATGAAGAGATTATCCGAAGAGATGCAGTTCGATTATGATCTAGTCATACCACGAGATCGACAATTTGGAAAGAAGTTACCTAATGGCCAATGGGATGGTCTAATCGGAGATCTTGCTAAAGGGGTAAGAAGTACATAGACAGAACATGGAATTGTTTTAGACACCACGTATATTAAACCAGATGGCGCCTGTAGTCCTGCAACCGTATAAACCTTCCTGTATAAAACGCTGTTTCTCTCAACTACTTTGACATAAATGAACTTAACTTTTGGAGATTTAATACTCTTTTTTTTACAATTTTTAGTAAACTAATTTCTTTCTTCCTTTTCGGGAATAGATATTATTATTATTGTAACATTAACAATGAAGAAATTATCGATTTAGTCTCTCCAATCGATTCGTATACAAAATGTTTCTTTTCTCAGATTTTTTGATATAAATTAATTTTACTTTAAAAGATTTTATATTCTACCGTTTTAACTTTTGTTAGCCATATTGCAATCCGTTTAAATCTACTAATTTTATGTTCTATTTTGTATAATTACTATTAAAGATACGTATTTCTTTCTTCAGGAAACAGATATCGTAGTTGCAGGATTAACAATGACTTCGGAACGCGAGGAAGTTATCGATTTTGTCGCTCCTTACTTCGAACAATCCGGCATACAGATCGGTAAAACGTGTTTCTACTTAAACCATGACTTTTACACGATCCACCGAAATATTCTTTATACTATGCAATCACCTTTTCATCCAAGTGATAAGGAAGCCTGTTCGCAAAGCGTCCCTCTTCAAATTCATGACAGTACTCAAAGTCGAAGTATGGCTGAGCATCGTCGGAGCATTAACGTTAACTGGCATCATGATCTGGATACTTGACAAGTATTCTCCTTACAGTGCCAGGAATAATAAACAGCTATATCCATACCCATGTCGGTAAGAATTGCACAACATCTGCCACCGTAATTTCCAACTAATCGACGCCTCGTTAAACGAAATTTGGGCCTAAATTGTAATAAATCACTCTTAACGACCTCGGTGTCTTATCGTTAATGGGTCTCATAAAGATAGAACAATTACTTTGTCGAGAATAATTGTTGGACAGAAATGTCGTCTTCTGTCTAGGGAATTCACGTTAAAGGAGAGCTTCTGGTTCGCCCTCACGTCTTTTACGCCACAGGGTGGTGGCGAAGCTCCTAAAGCATTGTCGAGTAGGACCCTGGTGGCTGCTTATTGGCTGTTCGTTGTTCTGATGCTTGCGACATTCACTGCTAATTTGGCTGCTTTTCTTACTGTGGAAAGAATGCAGGTGTTTAGATTTACTTCTAAAAAGATATTTAGAAAATATTGTTTCTTAGAAGATTCGAATTAAGGATCGTGTCCTGTTCTAGTCTCCTGTGCAGTCTTTAGAACAATTAGCGAGACAGTCGAGAATCAATTACACCGTATTGATTAATTCTTCTACCCATCAGTACTTCATGAATATGAAGAATGCAGAAGATAAATTGTATACGTGAGTATTTAAATTCAGAATTTTGTAAGAATCAAAATCTCTGTCACTTTTGATTCTTTAAATAAATCAACTGATTAATAATCTTTATTCTATCCATAAATTCTCACCTTCTAAGTACTTTTAAATTTAAAAAATATTTATCAGGGTACTAATTATTAATTATATTCTAGTACTTCAAAGTACTAATAACTCATCCCTACGAGTTCTTCCTCGGCTAATCATTTCCAATTTTCGTTCTCCAATCAGATTGTGGAAAGAGATCACGTTAAACAGTACCAGCGACCAGGTGGAGTACCGAGTCTGGGATTACCCGATCAAGGAACAATACGGCCACATACTGCAAGCCATCATGCAAATTGGCCCGGTGGCTGATACTAAGGAGGGCTTTCGAAAGGTACGTAATGGCGATCAATCATTCGAGTGTAGGCAAATCGTTGACTAAAGTCGCGGCTTTTTGTCCCGGTTCAGGTGATAGAAAGCGAAAATGTTGAGTTCGCTTTCATCCACGACTCGTCGGAGATAAAGTATGAGGTAACGAGGAATTGCAACCTGACAGAGGTTGGAGAGGTCTTTGCAGAGCAGCCTTACGCAATTGCTGTCCAACAGGGAAGCCACCTGCAAGAAGAAATAAGCAGAAAGTATAAAACTGGAAGTGTCATAAATATTCTTTTATATGTACGTATTTATATCGATTCGTTACAGGATTCTAGACTTACAGAAGGACAGGTACTTCGAGCTGTTGGCGTCCAAGTACTGGAACCAGACACTGAAGGCTCAGTGTGTAAACTCCGATGATAACGAAGGAATTACGTTGGAAAGCTTAGGTAAGCTGTCAATGACTCAATTTCATTATTTAATGTTTCATGATTTAACTTTTATCAGCAAGTATAGACCGATATTAGCTTAAAAGCGTTTCACATTTTTCATCACGATCAATCATAAGCATCTTTGTATCACAGATTTACTAAGCGAACAATAACTCCGCCATTTTTAGGTGGAGTGTTCATCGCGACTCTCTTCGGTCTCGCTCTAGCAATGATCACTCTAGCTGGCGAGCTATTCTACTATCGAAAACGGAACAATCAAGATAAAAAGAAAGGCAAAAAGAAGCCGAAGACCATCGACAGCGAGAAGATGATGATGCAGAAATTAGCCTCGAAATTGCAGATAAAACCAGCACCCACCAATCCGTTGTTTGAGAAGACAACGAAAGCGCCTCGAGTGTCTCACATCTCCGTTTATCCCCGTAATTTCCCTTTCAAGGAATAAAAACGGAATAAACAGTGGAACAGGAATGAACCAGAAAAACGACCAAGAACTCGACTCACGGTCTTATCTCGTGTCAATGATCGAGTCACTCGGTACCAAAGAGGAACAATCTGAATTTGATAACGGTTCTAATAAAAACGAGCGCAGCGTAACGAGAGTGAAAATAAAGTTTCTAGCCAAGTGTTTACTAAGCCCGGTGTCTTTCACCGTTTCGCAATGTTTGCCGATTCTTCACGCCTCTCGCGAGCCCCGGTAGCAATCGTAAATCGATCGATCGTAATGGACGATATTCTTCAGGGCGACGTATCGTTCGGAGATATTTCACTTTCGTTGCAATCGACTCAGTATTATCTTGTAGTTATTACGAATAAAGATCCAGGAATATTTTTTACATCGTCGTGTATACTTAATGTTCGAATCTTCCTTAAGATCAGGTGATCCTCCATGCATAAAGCGCGTCACTTTGGAGGGAAAGATCAGCGGTTTCGTTGGGCAAAATATTGCAGATGTTTTTTGTAGACGAAGACTCATAGATCCATCGTACCCGTAGATTATTGTCCGTCGCGAAACTTTTTCGCTGTTCGCGGTAACGGAATTGCATAAATGAAAGTGAGCAGTTAGGGATCGGTCGGCTGTGTCGTACCGATTCGTAACGATCTGTCGCAGTGGCGGACTATGAATCGATCTTCCAGCTAATCCGTTAAGTTATTTTAATTTTTTCTTTGGTAGTCATTGAACCCAATATTTTCATTCTTCTTGAAACATAATAATCCCTTCTGATCGAAGCAATTATTAAATCCAAGATTTCGACTTCAGACTTTTTATAATTTCCTTTGTAAAATATTAATCTTCCGTAATACATTGGTACCAGTGGTACCAGGCATTGATAAGTCTGCAATATGTTCTGTGATTTTATATTCACCTATAAAAATAGAAAGGTAAGTGAGACTGCCGTATAAATAAATTCGCAGATATTTATAATGTTCTTTTCGCTTGGAACCAAAACATTTGCCTCAAAAAATTTCTTTTTCTCGGCAAGAAGTAAGCGTACTCGTGTACACGTCATGATTCTTTTTGCTCTTAACGAGACAAAAATGATTTACCAGCGGCCACGGACGAGCAAACAGCGTCCGGCACTGTTTTACGGTCGCTGATTCAAATCTTTCTGATCGACAATCGGTGTTCAGTGACTTCGTGGGTTGCGTTTCGCGAGATAAAAGGGTGGGGCGTCGCCTTTTTGGATCACCAAGTCGATATAAAGGCTTTCCGCGCGGAGGCGAGATCATTTCATGGGAAAGTGATGTGGCTCGCCGAACCGGAACCGGAAACGGAATAAGTGTCCACGATCGGCGATATCGCGCACCATGCCCTCCTGCAAGCTCCATTCTCTTCGCTCTGACGGACTGCTTCTGGTAATTTCGTGTTTCTTTACCTCTGCTACTATTTCCAATGGGAGCAGTGAGATTTTCTTCGTTCACTTTGCCCAGGAACTTTTCTCCTTCCTTCATCTATATTACAATAAATATATACATTATATTTTCTATGTTCTTTACCAGCGTTATATTGTTTTATTTTATTTTACTCACCTTTTCAAAGGAATTTTGAAACATATAAAGGATCTTACAGGACCATGTAATTGTCATAAAGGAATATTTTCTGACATAGGTATATCTGACACTGACGATACTTTGCGTGTCGTCGAATGCCAATTTCTACGAGGATCACTACAAGTCTGTATCCAGCGATGATGATCCATGGATTCACGCAAACCGCGATATTTCTTACGATTTCGCCTCTTCGGAACCCTCGCCATCCTACAGTCGCTTCTTAGAGTCCAGAAAGAACCATCGATCCTTAGACTCCACCGAATCCTTCGACAAACCTAAAGAATGGTACTCTTCATCTTCCACCAAGAAGGTTCCTACGGAGGACAAGAATTTCAAAAAGATAATATCTCCGTTCTACACCATCACTGACAAAGATTCCCAAAAATACAAAGACATGGTAATGAAATCCGGCGTTCCTTACTGCCAAGAGATCAAAACGAAGCGTGGGGACAAGGAGACCAACGCGAAAGACAGCATGATCTGTTTCAAGTGCAAGAACCCGAAGAATGGAGCCTCTTACGAGCAGTGTTCTTACGCTTCCCAACCACTGGCGGACTCCAGTAATATCGAAGAAGTCGTGGTGACACCTTCAGGCTTCAGAAACAGGAGATCTAGCTCGGACGAGGCCTATTCTAACTTTAAAAAATCTGACAATTACAGAAGGCGCGACAATCCGTACAGATTCAACGATAAAATATTCTCAGAGGCCACTGACGACGTCCCAGCCGAGTATAAGAATAAGAACGAAAAATGTGAGAAGATGGTAAAGGATTCCATGGTGTGCATGATATGCAAAGACACCAAGAGCAACGCGAAGTACGAGCAATGCTCCTATGTTCAACAACCCAACGATAAGAAATACGCCTATACCAAATCTAGCTCTCATTCGACTCCTGAACGAAAATCTGAAAGGGATGAGGAGGAAGACCATGAAAGAGGTTCCAACAGGAGATATTCGGGGAGTAAACCGGTGAAAGAGTATTCCAGTTCTGGCGAGAAAGAGGACCTAGAGAGAGAATCTCGAGAAGAGACCAGGGACTCGTCCGGGAATTGCAAGAAAGTCCAAAAGGGCTCACAGACCTGTACCATCTGCAAGGACCCCAAGACAGGTGGAAATTACGAGAAATGCTCGTACACTTATGAGCCAGACGATAAGGTATACAAATACAGTACATCTAAGAGCTTTGGGTACCCCAGAAGCTCTTCCACGGATGTCGACAGGAGTGAACCCAGTTACGAGGAAGCCAAACCACCGGCAAAGTTCACAACTGACTCTGAAGAATACAAGAAAGACTACTCTATTCCTGAAAGCTCCTACGAAAAACCTCCGTCCTCCGAACCATCGAGTTCTTACTACAAAGACGAGGAACCTGAGTCCAGTTATCATCAAGCTGCCACTCGAGAGTCTAAATCTGGCTCAGACGACGACGACCACCTCTCTGGCTACGAGAAGTCCAAGTCTGAATCAGAGAGAGTCGCAGAAAGCATCCAACCGAGCTACTGCAAAGAGGTCCAGAAGGGTTCCATGAGTTGCAAGGTCTGCAAGGACCCGAAGACAGGGAGTAACTCTGAGCAGTGCTCGTACAAGTACGAACCGAGCGATAAGAGTTACTCTTACTCCAAATCCAAGTCGTTTGGTACTCCAACCGAATCGAGAGACAAGTCTTACGACGTGTCTGAGAAGAAAGAATCCCAGGAACCATCTTACGAGAGCCGTAGCCACGATTACCCTTCTGAGAAAGCGGCCTACGTTACCGACAGCGATATCAAAAGAGACTATTCGATCGCTGATGAGTCCAAGTCCGAATTGAAAGAAGAGTCGCCAAAGCCCGATTCGAAGAAGATCGACGCCGAATTCTACGACTCGTTTAAGAAGAAGACCGAGATTCAGAAGGTCCTCCAAGATTTCCAAAAGGAGGATCGTTCCAAATGCAAGAAGCTGATGCGCGATAAGATGACCTGCTACCAATGCACGGATGAGAAAGGGTTCGAGAAGGAAGAATGCGCCTTTGTGACTGCAGATGAGCCAGCTGAGGATAAGATCGACTATCGAGAGTCGAAGGAGTACCACGTCGAGCCTACTAAGAAGGTTCCCAGGTCTATCGTGATGGATCGTCTGGATGACTTCCCGGTCGAGCCAGAGGTAGCTGCCAGCGAGAGAGTTTATGTGAAGAGAGAGCAACCAAATTCAGAGGATACTAAAGACGCTGAAGCATCCAAAGAAGCTGAACCTTACGAGTACGTGGAAGAGACCAAACCTGTGTTCGACAAGGTCCTCGGTTTCACGCTTCCGGCGTACATGCTGAGTACTTCCGAGCACGAGGAGGAGTTTGACAAAATCGCATCGAGTAGAAGGATCTGAGTCCATCTTTTCAATCTCTTGTATCTTCGTGGTGGGTTCGACGATGTTTAGTCGCTTGTAGAACTCGTCGATTAAATAGAATTAAGCTTTTTGTATGGAACTCAGACGTAGAGGTCGCTGCAAGCAATTATACTTCTTAGATGGTAAAAAGGAATGGTGTCTTTGAATGAGCCGCTCATTTTCCAAGACGATTAACTCCATAAAAGCGAAAAGTAGAAATTTATTTCAAATATAGAAAGTTGAATGTACATCACGCTGTTTGGTAGACGAATTAAAAAGAATTCGAGAGGTGGAGTTAATCACGTTGGCCTGTGAACGGGTCAAATGTTTATTTCTTCCATGGTAATGTTACTTACTGTTAGTGCATAAGCGGGACTCGATTGTTGTATGGTTTGTAATTAAATTTCTTATTGTTAAACCGATGGTGAAATTTATCTTTGCCCGTTTACGTACAATTGCGCCGCAGTTATGGTCGATTGAACACGAAATTAGAAACTTCGCTTGCTACATTGGGTTTTTGCGAAATGGCCATTCCGTTTTTTCTCTTTTTTTTTTATTATTATTATATACTGCGCGTGATTACTGGAGAAAGAGTTGAAAATTTCTTATCGATATCTCGTGAAAAGAAAGCGAGGATATGAAAATGATATCTCCAATCGTTTTATTTCGTCATGGCTGACTGGCTGTGAATAAAGAAATGTCGCGATATCGACAAAGTGTAACGGCAGATCGAGAATATAGTTCTTTATTACAGGTTTTGCTCGTTCAGTGAAAGATATCTAGCGATTTTAATAGACCATAACTCGATTAGACTCATCGTTCGTCAAACGAAAGATCGGTAGAGACGTGATATAGAATTGATATTTCGAAAACTATTTGAAACATAACAAAAATCGATATCTCTATCCATTTCGAATTTTTATAATTAATATAGGAGATAACTAGAGAAAATAAGCGTTTGCAACTGTTTCCGCAAACGTGAATAAATAGATATGACACATTTCAACACATGGTTACCGTATCGTATCGATGATTATCTTCCATGAAGTAAAAATGAAAGTCAAGTTATTAATTGGCTCGATCTATCGTAATTGACACTTAATAATACAAAGATAAAGATCTTGAAGGTTTAGGAAGAACTTGAGATTTGAAGAAACATTATTCTTTCTTATTTCAAATTACTCTCTAAGTAAATTGAACGTACTTAGAAATGAGTATTGAAAAATCGGGACGCACCTGAAACATAAGAGTTAGGTTAGATTAATCTGCGTAACACACTCCATACACAAGGTAATTTCATGCTACAGCACCCTTCATTAATTAGTGTTTGCTCAACTTGACTCACTGCCAACCTCTGTACATCTTACATGAAAATGAAGACAACGTCGACAAATAAATGATGCTCGCAGAGACATCTTGGAGTTTCCTGACATAGTCTTATAGCCGGATACAATGTATTCTTATGCCATGGGGTAGGAACCAATTAAGGAATCATCTCACGGACTCTTACCCCGGGCCTCATTTCTGTATACGAAGGTACCTAAAAGAAAAAAGGTCTGAGTTAAAATTACTAAAATTGTGTGTTAAAATGTAATAGCAAGTACCTCAAATGGACATTAAATCTTTTTAGTCATACTGAGGAAAGAAGTCATTAAACAATTAAAAAATCATTATTAAATTTTACAAGGGGTTAAGATGTGGTACAATGTACAACAGCTATCGGCTAGCTCATAGTATTAGTATATACCTGAATCACAGAAACCATAAAAGTTATATATATACAGTGTGTCCCAGGTTTTAATATTCAAACTCTGTCAGTACATTCCATGGCACTTAATAGGGAAAAAATGTTTATAAACATAGGTCATTTAGAATTTTGTTAAAGAGTTATAACACAAATATGGAATACAAATGGAACGGTACCCGGCCAAATTGGCTCGAATAGATCAGTAATATTTACATTTACAGTCTCGTAGTATGTTTATGTTTTCTACCAGAGGACGCCAAAGATTTTGGCAGTCATTTTCGCCAGTAATAGCTATTAGTAAGTTGTTAGACTTGTATTCTATATTTGCAACTCTTTAACAAAGCTTCAAGTGACCTATGTCTACAAACATTTCCTTCTTATTTAATGCTATTGAATATACAGACAGTTTGAACGTTAAAACCTGGGACACCCTGTATACATGAAAGTCCAATCTCCATTCCAAACTGATCATCATATCCACATCGTATCTACGCAAAATCTGTAATCTGCGACTCGCGAAATCCTCCCACCTCTGCTCTCCACTTAGCAACAACGAAAACCACCCTTCCTCAAACCCAAAACCCAAACCCAAACCCACTTCTCTGTTCCTTTCACGCTCTCCTGTACCACCTCTGCGCTGAAACCTCGGTTCGACCGATCGCGCCACAGCGTCGGGTATATCGCGGCGACAAGGAGGAATGGCGGCGGAATCCAAGCGTGGTCCACGATCCGGGGGATCGTCGTTGGCCAGCAGTAGCAGCGGGCGCGCGCTAGTGTCGGCATCGGTGCTGCTCGTCCCTTTCCATATCCGTCACCTTCCACCTCCTAGTACGCTCACGGACCTCCGTCGAACAGGCACAGCCAGCAGAGAGAGAACCGGTTCCTGTCGGCTGGTGGAAAGCGGCACGAGGCGGCGCGAGCTTAACCCGGCACACCGGATTTCGTATCGTCTGCGGCGGATACCGAACGCTAGCCGAGCATGAGCACCTCGACGTTCGTGGGGTAAGCGTGGATTTTCCCTTTGCTGCTATCTGCCGAAAGAAAGAAAGAACGTAAGAAAGATAGAGTAACCGGCTGTCCAAGGATCCTCGATCGCTTAGCGTTGTCACGGGGTCACGGGGAGTCTCAGAGAAGCTTTCTGGTCGTCCGGCGTGATCCGTAGGATGGAAAGTCTCTGGCCACCAGAAATGGTAGGATAGGTGAAACTGGTTTCTAGTTTGGCGCTCGAAAGGACTCGACCGGTTAGAAGGACCTGTTTCTTCCTTTTGCCGCTTCGATTCGGCTTCTCGAGCTTCGTTGTCGGGGCTGATCGAGGATGCTTGTGCGGATAGAGTAGCTTTGTCCGAGGTGATCGAAGAGGCTTCAGAAGTTGAACGATCTGCTGGACGATGTTCGTGAAGATTCCGGAGTAGTGGTAAGAGGATGCTGTCGCGATCTTGGTAATCTGCGCAGTTGATTTCCCTGCTTCCAGGCTGTACAGAAATAGACGGCGTTTTGGAGCGCGTTAGGGGATTGAGAAAGGTCGGGATCTTCCCGGTTTCGCGTTCATGGGGTCTGGGTAACCCGGCGTATTTTAGTAATTCGCGTAACCGATTATGAAATTCTGATTTACGATTTTACCTTTAATCCGTGTGGTTTGTTTCATCTAAAATATGTGTCTCTTTTCATATTTGTGATTCATAATTTATTCGATTATCTATATAATCCGGAGCTCTCACGAAGGTCCAATTTTTCGGCTACCTTTTCAGTCATCTTCCGCACAGACTGGCTTTACATTCACGAGTCTATTTAAAGCAGCTTAAAATTGCATAAATAGAGAATCGGTAAACAAAGTTGTCTGCCAAGAGTGATTATTAGAAGCCATAAATGTAACGTGTTGACCGTAGCTTCGTTCCTTTCGAAAATGTCGAATTTCTGAATTATTAAACTTCGTTCGCAGTCTTCTCTTCATTTTTGAATGTTATCCGAGTAAAATCGGCCAGGAATGGTAAATCGCGAAGAACTTGTTCGTTGGAGATGGCAGTTTCAACGACGAACCTTGCGACGATACCAAGAAAGAGCTCCTCGACCTATATTTCGTCGTCGAAAAGGAAAACACCGAGGAGCATTCATCGAAAGATTCTTCATCCAATGGATCTTGACTGCTCGATATCGAGTTTGATTAATTACTTCCTTCGATTTATTCCTCTCGTCAACCGCTCCTTGATCTCAACCTCGCGTTCAGATCAAAAGCAAATTCTATCTGCGCATAAAAGTGTACATAAGATTAAAGATCGGAAAAACGTGCAGAAACTGGGACCTTCTTCTATCCTGAAAACTGTATCGTAACAGATTAAATTACGACTTATGTAATTTACACGCCTTGCATTCGAAGCATTCATAATTCAGAAAAGCGAAGCTTAGAGCTATTTATAACTAACGTAATCACGGAAAGTGAAAATCATTGTGCTCTCGTTCGGAGCATAACAATTTTCAACTTGGCAGCACTTAGCCGAGTCGAGCAGAATGAGTTATAAATAATCCGAAATTGTGTGAAATCATCCTAGATTCGCGATCGTGTCTCTCCTTGGGGTTAACAACTGAGAAAGTTCGCTCATAATATTAAACGTGAATCAAAGGATAATTATAGAAATAAGTAAAAGAAAAAAGACGGTGAAGTAGAAAGTATAGAATGTAAGCAGACGATATCTCGGAGGAAGTAAGAATCTAAGTCGATGCATCGAAGCTAGGGAAGCTCGCAGGCATGTTTATAGTCGCCACCCACGACGAGATTCTATATCCACGCGGATGAGTAATCTCATCGGGCAGCCCGATGAAATAATCGATGCATCGAGACCGTTCGATTACCCCTTGTTCTTCGTTTCCATTCCGATTTCTTCGAAATCGTGTCTCTACATGATCACTCGTATCGTAAATTCCAGCTATTCTCCAATATTTTTAATTCTTCGTGATATAGATTTACGTCATAGTTGTTATTGGAAATAAGCGATACACAAAGCTCGCTTTATAGCTTCGAATGACGTTCATTTTTGCGCAAAAATATAAAGCTCGGGTTGGCCACGTTCCTCTAGACTCACGCCCACGCTTGGTCCAGTCTTGGACGTCCCGCTTGGAACCGCTCGCTGATACTCGAAGCTAATGCGAAAAAATATTGTTTTGGATGCTGGTCAGATGCGAAGTTTTCCGTAAACGTCTTCACACGAGGCAACGTTTCGTACCCATCAATAGGAAGGTATTCTCTTTCGTCCAGTAATGACACATGGACCCAATAAAATACAAGATCCACATCTCTGCCAATCAAATTCTCTTAGCATTAGCTATACCCCTGCTCTTCAAGATACTTCTTAATTTGCCTAATAAACCCTATTGACTTAACTCCGTTACCATTTCCACCACGTGAAAAGCAATCTCATTCGATGGTCTCCATTGCGACGGGGGTATCGTCGTATGTTCGTCGTGATGGAAATACACCGACGGGTTTCTAGGTCCACGCCTACGAATCATCCAATTTTGAACGTCTCGGAACCTTGCTCGAGCCCCGCAGTTTAAGCTCCATCCGATTCCATTCTGGTCTGATCAGCTACGTGACTAGGCGCGCCGCATTCTCTCTCCCTCTATCTGTCTTACCCGAGCCGGCCTCGTCATCAGGAAAATTCGCAGGTGTGAACGACCCTTCGATCAAGAGGGTACGGGAAAATTGTTCATTGCCACGTGCCGTGGCGGACTGGCCACGCGATGTATTTTTAAACGCTTGCGCGTATCGCGTTTTCGACGTCGTTCACTCTTCTCCCTGTCGCGTCTTCCGACCAGAGTTTGGAAGTCCGTTTGCCGAGTTTGATCCGCTCGACAACTGGCCCGTTCACCGATGTCGCTGTAGTCAACTCGTCGTTAGACCGTGTGGACCCCGTTTTTGCGGGATCATTGCTTTCTCCTCCCAGGATAATCGTCTCTACGAGTGAAGGTCCCATTTAGACTCTTCCACTTTTCATGGATATGAGGTCGATCTGTGATCGTACTGGAATATTTTCGTAGTTGTAACCTCCATCACCTTTCGTTCTCCTTTTTCAATTTTCTTCCTCGTGGTAATTTACTGTAGACAGTGTCGTATATATTTTCGTCCGATGATTCGAAGTTTGGCAAAGTGCGAAAAGAGGTTTGGCGAATTAATTTGCGAATCGGTACGATCGGACAACGTCAGGTGTCTTCGGCTCCTCGCGGAGAAGCCGCGACGCGTCGAAGCCCTAAAAATAAAATAATCGGAAGCATTTTGTGCGGCGCGGTAACGCGCAGGTCGGCCCGCGCTAAATTTAACTCCGCCTCGCGTATCTACCTAAATACACTTGTACAAGCCACGGCCTGTTGTTGGCTGGGTTCCGAGGCTCGCGACACCGCGCCGCCACCACTCGCCCTCGTCGAGCTTTTCCGAGAAAGTTCGCCTTTTGCGAGGATCGCGATCGATCCTTCTAGATCCTTCGATCAGCACGATCGTCATATGACCGTCTGACCTTTCGATTTTATTATTTTCAGCTTTCAGTAAGAGAGAATAGAGGCTTTGGAAAACGTAGACCAACATTCTCGCCATTTTTTGTGTGCTTTTTGAAAAAGTGTTTTTTCAGAGTATTTGCATAAAGTCTGATTACAGTGCATGCATTTTCAGCCGAAGAGAAAATCCATTGTATTTTCTTCCTTATCTTCTGATCTCGAATATCGTACAATCAATATCATTCACTCGATTTTTGTATTTTTAATTGTTTTATTCATAACGAAAATGTCTTTAGGAATAATTATGCTATTATTTCTTGGACAAAAGTCAAGTTGATACAATTCCACAAATCCCGCGTGTTTCGTAAATTTCATAAATCGCATAAATAAATTACACAAGTATATGTTCCTAAAATTTCACAAACTTACAAGAATTATATAATAAAAATTACAACATACAAAGCAAATGGAGAAATTCACCTTTGATCAATAGAAACACCTGGGTCTCGTCACTCTGAACACCTGTAAAAACCGAAAGCTTTCGGATTCACCGAACCACTCGGACCCCTGCCGTTTATTATCTTTCTCCGGTGGTCTGTCGTTCATGCTCCGTTCCACGTCCAAAATTTCTCACCGTGAAAACGCTCAACGCGTTTTTCCGAGAAAGTCGACCGCATGAATTACGATTCCAGTCGCGATAACAATGACGTCACTCGTCTGATTCGATGTTAAAATTAGTCGAGAATCAAACGGGTTCACGGCGATGGCCCTGTGGCCATTTTCGTGAGAACAATTTCGCGATTGAAGTAAAAAAGAAAGAACATCAGCCGAAAAATTGGCGAATTTTCCAGATGCCGGTCGTTCGAACAACGAGGGTAAAATGTTGGAGAACGAAGTCGCACGTGGCACCCATCGGCACGTTGACGTAAAAGAGAAAGACGGTGTCAATGCCATTCTCCAAAATTCTATTATTAAAAGAAATCTTTTACTCGAAACCAAGAATCTGCCATGGGTTCGACGTTATTCTGCGAATGACGTTTTTATATTTTAAGACAAAAGAGTTCTTGAATACTCGTGGATGTGTAACATGATTAGGGTTTGTTTTTATGAGCAGTAGAGGGAGAACTTGGACTGTTAGCCTGAAAGATCATTTGAAATTAACTTATGGATATCTAACTGGGATACTACATAAATTATTTTTTTAAATTATTTTCTTACTTTCTTTAATCACTATCGATATTTAATTTCTTCCAATTGAAATTATAATTTTTGTTTTATTTCGTAGGCTTCAGGAATTATCAATTTTTCTTGACCAGATAAACGATTCGAGCAATCTTCGTTCATTGATTAACGAGCTTTCACAGCTGTTGGAGCGAATGTTCTAAAAAGTTCAGTCACCCTGTTGAAACGAGATGAACGATATAGTCGACCGAGACCACTGACAACACGAACAGCAAAAATAGAGGACTATCAATATCGTGCAGATAGTAGTTGACCGCTCCTTGAAACCGTGCTGTAAAAATATCATCTCTTTAAATAGCAGATCATCATAAGTTATACGCAATTTCGTCAGTGAAATGACTGCTGGTCACTTTTCGTGTCATGAACATTCTACCACTATATCGCTCTATCACCTATCGATTATGATTCTGCATCCACTTACATTCATTCTCGAGCATGAGCGATAAGTCGCAATTTTTCAATATCAATCCAAAAAATTTGCATACAGACACTGTACTATCCACCACGAACCATGGAGATAACCTAGATATTACAAATTCAAATATTCATCGATCTTTGACAATACTGTTTCATTTATTTCGAATTACGTTTATTGATTTCAACATTTAAATAAACCACAATACTTACGACTTCTTTTATATTTTCTTCGATTACACGAAACACTAAGTCACGAGTGAAATTAAAAATACACGTTGTAGGCTTCGTAAAGTAATAAAGTGACACAACCTTCCTATGAGCTACAACTTCCTTAAATGGATTAGGCAAGGAAACATGGCCGAGTCATCGAAAGATAACTCGCGGTCACAACTGCGAAATGTGGGTTACCGTTCGTTCGTTCCTTGATAATTCCAAAAGCAGTTTGGCCGGGTTGATTGCGAACACGGTAGCGGCCGCCGTGTCCCAAAGTAAATAAATCGTCGTGCTTGTCGAGTACTCTGCGTACGTGGAAATAGAAAGGTGCTTCGATTCAGGTATTTTAGAACTCATTGCTTTATCGTGTCACCTGATACTTACAGTGAATCACCCAAACGACGATTGTCTCTTTCGATGAAATATTCTTATTGGAACTTGTCTGATTTATCTCGTCTAATGTGTGTCTCGAAATAAAAATCATTATAAACTGATAAACGGAAAATTACTTTAACACATTTACAGCGATTCAAAATTTCCATGTCAGAAAATATTCTTTCAACAAGGTTTCTAAACTTCATATGTCTTTCCAATTTTTCAAATAGCGTACTAAAGCAGAAATAAATAAAAGCAATAACAACTTATAGCGCACAAGAGTTAACAGAAAAGTTAAGTGAGAAGAATTAAGGACTGAAACAAAGTTTACAAGCATCTTCAATCAACGATCACAATGTTGTTCACTAGAGGTTATGTTTCCTTCGAATACCCTCGAAAAATTAATTAGAACGCCACCACCGACATAATTTTGAAGCTATGGAAAGGAACCGTTTTGACAGCGAGCTACACTATACGCAAATATCATGTGTTACACGTAGATACACCAAAATACCGATACAGCACGATGTGACTCAACGTTCGAGTAACTGCGTTCCACAGATAACACAGGAATGTATGCAACGAACATTACACGAGCAAGAATCTTCATCGATATCACTATCCGCGTTGCTTTGACAATCTGATGGTTGTTTGATTAATGGCACCTCGAATTACAGTAATTTGGGTATGAGATGCGTACAGTGGTTGCCAAAGTTTATAATCAAAGTATAATAGCGTTTCTACTTGAATGATACATTCGAAAAATTATTTCTTCCAAAAATTGAATAATTTATTATTTATAAGGTACCTTCGTGTGAAATCCCCATGTACGATATATACTGAAACGCTGGTTAATTTTTTGATATCAATCTTTTAATTAAGATTATACAAAGGGATTATATTCCTAATGCTGTCTTTCATCATCATCCACGAAATAGCCTCTGAATATTGGTGTCATCGTCTAAATTAAATTATTATACGATCAGTAAATATATATTCGACTAATATTTAATCGATACTTACTATATAATCGATACTATTTTAGTTGATATAATTTAATCGATATCGTACTCCCCAATAGTTACTCGAGAAAACTGTTGAACAATCTAGTCGCTTCTTTATCTTCGTATGGTATTGTTGGAAAAATATTTTATTTCGAAAGATATTTAGATGCAGCTGTTGGTAAAATATTATTCGAGTGATTCATGGACAGCCAGTTTTGTAATGATCGTAAGATTCATAAATTTTATGGCCCTTAAAAAACAGACTGACAGTGTATATTATACTATAGTTTAAAATAAGTTTACTAGAATATTGAGATATGTATAGTGTCAATATATCTTTTAACTCTCTTGACCCTTTGCATTTGCATCAAACTTTTCTAAGATAATGTATCTAAAAATTAGGTTATATTTTATGACATTTCATATGCAAAGAGGTTACAAAGGGTTAACGATTCGCTAATTTTATCCTCTCAAGTGACTAAATACTTCTCTTTTCAGGAATTCGGATGGTCTAGTGACAGGTACGTATATCCACAATCGAGAAAAATAATTAATCGGGGAATTCGTTGCTCGTCGTGAAACGTTGCAACGAAGATATGCGGTGTATGCAAATAATAACTGCTGCCTGGTGATAATTACCAAACGGAAAGCAATTAGATTCGTCGTTCCAAGGTTTACAAACATTTCTGAAAGCTTATCAAAAAAGCACTCAATATAGATTACTTCTCTAAGGTGAGTTCCTAAATGAAATGAAAACTAATTAAAAAACAAATGTACAATTTTTCCAAAAACGTATCGATTTTTGTTTTCTTTTTTTTTTTATCAATTCTATGAACTTTTTTTAAATTTCTAGAAAAATATCCCCGTAAAGAATTCTTCTTACATAACAATGTTTACTTTGGCATCACGTGAGCTTCGCAAGATTTCCGTGTCCACCAAAGCAACCCAAACACCCGGCAGCTTCTCTCCACGTGTACACAAAACATCTCTGTCCACGAATTACAAATGAACCCGTCTGTATACCTCTACCTGATCTACCGCCTGTGCCACTTTCACGGGAGGACCGTTCACGGGCCCAAAGTTCAACAAAAAGGCCGGCAAATCAAATTTACCGTTCACTACCAGCCGACGTTCTACGATTTTACGATTCACACGTTGGTCACGGTGAAACTTAATCTCGTAAAAAAGTTACATTCCAAAGTTACAGCTGCGAAGAAACTTTCGCTCGTTTTTATCTCCTGTTTGACTCGAAAGGAAAGAAATTCGAAAATTTTTCGCGTATCTAACTTCTTTCTTCCGCCTCTCTCGTAAATCGGTTTCTTAGTCCTTTTACCTAATTTTTTCGATGCCACTGTGAATTGGCAATGACGGTGGTAGATCAGATAGCGAACGGTCTGCCGCTTGGGATTTCCGGTGAGCTCTCTACGGGAACGTGTGAAAGTGCAACGAAAACGACGAGCACACGTCCCGCATACCTGACCCCTCGTTAGCATTCCACTAAATCGCTAATCGTTCCAGGACTTTGTCCCGCGCCTCCTCCACCGCCACCGCTACCTCCAGTGTCTGGTCAGGTGCCAGCCATGAAGATCAACACCGCAGAGGTAAGCAGAAGATCGGCAGCTCGCTTCAGTCCGCGTTCGTCGCCCGTTGCGAGCGAATCGTCGAGTTTCTTGAAATGTCGTAGGAATTTCAACGAGTCAAAAGAGAGAAAAATATTCCAAGCATTGATTGCCTCAAAGTAGTACTCCACCGTTGGGTAGTGTTTAATTTTATTTTGAAAGAGTTACAGAGCTTCATCTACTGTGGATAATTGAATTTAATTATTTAATTGGATAACTGAAAATGGTGAGTGTCATAAGGGGACATTTTAAATCGAGTTGAGGGAGTATAGTCTGAAAAGGAAGATAAAATGTGAGAATCGTGTAGGTGGTTGTAATGGATTCTGGAAGGAATGGTAGATTTATGCGGAAGGATCTTTCACGAGGAATTATAACCCGGCCAAAATTAAGGGAACGCTCAAGGCTGTTGGATCTTTTCTTTGCTCCGCGTTTACTCTGTTCCAGTGTTTGTTTTAAACCTGTGGACTTGAGTTCTTTGTTCAGATATATTTAGAAGCACTTCAAAAACACGGTAAAAGAGACGAGAAAAATAGCCTTGAGCGAGATGTAACAGAATTAAGTGCGGGTTGAAGAATGTAACTCTTCGAAGAGACATGTAACAATCTTACCTTCAGTCGTGACAAATTTCTATTGTACAAAATGAAAGGATATCTGTTTCGATATTACCGTGCGATTCAGAGTCAATGATTAAAGGCGATATTAACAGAAACGTTGAATCGTAGGCACCTACGTCAAGAAGGTTGCAGGTGGTCAGCAACGATGCTTATGAACCACCAGCAGCCATTCAAAATGCGATGCTGACCAAGGATAAGAAACCGTTCACATATACGCCAGGAATGGGTGGCAAACTGGACCTATCTCAAATTCGAAGTCCTCGAATGGCCCGCAGAGTAGCGAAAAATGCGAACGATGAAGGAATCGAGGGTCCACCAAAATCAGCACTTGAACCGAAGCCGACACCAGCGCCAAACACCGGGGCGAATCTATTTGTTCAGCCCCAAGTTGCGATTCCTGTATTTCCGACAAATATTCCAGCTCAACCCTCCGCCAACAGGACACCCCCGACTCCGCCTGCTAACAGGATTCAACCTAGTAGTGAGTATCTCTGAAAACCAAAATGTATGGAAATAATCAAAAAATACTGTCGTTTGTGGAAATATCGAAGTTCCAAATTGTATCGTTCCAGCTCCAGAGAAGCAACCGGAACCACCGAAAGTCGTGACCAAAGTAGAGACCAAAGTAACTCCCACGATTGCGGTT